AAGTGCTTGCTAAGTTGGCAAAACGAATTGATGAGCATGATTCCCTCACACAGTCGCAGGCCATTTTGCTTGGTGATTGTTTTCTGTTGGGAGAAATGTCATTCGACGAGTGCAGACTTCGAGCATAGCGCTTGGCAGAAGAACCGTTGTAGACAGGCTTGTCGCCGGCAAGGCTTCAACCATTCTGTCCACCCAGGTCCGCAATGTATGGTCAATCCTACCCGCTATCGATATGGTAAATTGCCACAATGAACCAGAGGTCCGCATCTTTCTGGTGGACCTGAAGGGCACGCCCTGTGCCCTTAACTGGGGCAGTCAGGGAAGCGATTAATCGAAAAAAACCTCATCCCTTCAGGCAGGGCTGAACTCTTGTATGCATGTTCGTGAGTTTGCCCAAGCCATTATCTCCAGCTGTGCGCTTGCTGCATCTCCACTGCATGCCGGGCACACTCAGATAATTCCTTGAGAGTGCTGACATCATTCAATCGGCAAGCCCGGATGACCCTATGTTCCCTTAAGTGATTACCGGCTGTATGCAAGGAAATACCAAGAGTAGGGTCAGCACAGATGACACCCAGTACTGTAATGCGAGAAGAGCATCACGAGCTTGAACAGTGTCCGCATGACCATGCTTTTGTGACACAATCTTCTTACAAGCACGAGATCTCGAAGGCTTACCACACTGTACCAATCTAGCAGACTCACATTGGCGGGACCGGATGGGGCACTGGAAGCTCAATTCATGTGATCGTGATTGCAAAGCTGGGAATACAGATCACCTTGCTTGCAAGCAGCAAAGCAGGTAAGCTGAACACAACGAACATGGCAATTCAAAGGAGCATCCTTGCATGTCATCATGGAGCATGCGCACCTGCTCGAGCAGCAGATCAGTTGCATTGAGCACAGAGCTGCCGACTAGCAGGTTTGTTGGGCTCGGTGAGCAGCACTCTGAGAGCTGAATGGAGATCATTTGGGAAAAAACTGGGAATCTCCACAGTCTGTGTGCGCCAATAGCTGCTGAAAGGGATGGTGGCCAGATTGCCTTGTACTTCCGTTGCAGACGTACGGCTAAGAAACCGAACGAAACAGGCATCTCGCGCCTCAGCATGTGGTCTTGTATTTTTGTCCTTGAGTGCAGAAGGGATGTCTGTGGGGAAGTGAGGTTGGCACTGTCTGCAGACCATTTTTGGTGTGCACGAAAAGAAACCTGCACGGGAAGGACTGCTATTTTTTAACAACCATTTGGTGGACCACCTGGAGGAAAGTAAGTCGCCATGGTTTCCGTGTCAGTGCACAGCATGAAGTCAATTTTTTTCGGTGTGGTGGATGCCATCGCAGCAGAAAATGGATCCACAAATTGATCAATGCCCAAATTCCAAGCATGCTCACCTTGTTTTGATTGCGCATGCTAAAAAGCACGTATTCTTGACACTGCAATTGAATCTGATGACTAGAGAAAACTGAACGCAACGCAGGAATTGCAGCATCAGGCTCATCTCGAGCAGCTTGTCCGCGTTCGTTCTTGTGAATTCAAGCTTTTTGACTATGCGGACTTCCGCGACCCAAGGCAGCAATTGCTGCAAGCGCGGCTGCTGCAATTGCAGGGGCTCCTTGCCAAGAATGCTTTTGGGACTGAATGCTGAATTGCTAGGGATCGAGATTGAGTTCTCAGAGGGCACGTCAGTGCCAGTTAGTACGCCTGTTTTCTTCAGCAGAAAGCTGAGGACACAGCAGCTACAACCACAGCATCCGCTGCAGCCAACGCACTTCCAGCAGTTCCAACAGCCATTCTTTCCAGGGCCTGTTATGCCGCTATGGGCGACGCTTCCAGTCCAACCTCAATTCAGAGGACTGCAAGATCCAAACCAGCAAGGCCAACAGAGCCACCTCGCACCGCACGCCTGGCATGGATTTCCTGGAGCTCCCGCGGAGCTGCCCTCCATGGACGTCTCCAGTATGCAAGAGCCGCATAGGCCTCAGAACCAATTTGATCACTTTAATGCAATTTGAGCTAGCATTTTGACCCAGACCATTTGAGGACTACATGGGCTCCAAACTTAAATGAGACGCCGCCCTCTCTACTGCCACTTTGCAAAAACGGGCTCATCAAGTGGTGTTCCGCTTGCTGGGGGGGTTGTTATGGTCCGAGGCCCCCTCGTGGACTGGATGCGCCCAAGCTGATGGTGAAGCCGTTGGTGCCACCATCAGTTTCTGTGACCTGGCTTTGGCTTGAGATTGCAGACCACGTGCTTCCAAGAACTCTCAGAGCAGCACAACAAGGCCCCATTATCTACTTCGAGTGTTGAGATGGGTTTGACTGCCCCGTGGACAGCACAAGGACTGGATAGGAGAGAAGACCATGAACAGATCAGGCATTTAGAGTTCTTGCAGGACCCATTCCAAGTGCCAGCTATTTGAGCACTGATTCTGGATCGGTCCCGATTTGCGGTGGTGTTCCTTAGCTTGCAAACTTGTCATGAAAAGCCGGGAGAGCTTTTGAGAGTGCTGGGGTGCAGGAAGGGTCAATTCAAGCCAGCGCTTATTTCTTCACCTGGTCATACCTCGTCTATTCTCCTGGCATGTCTCCTCTTTTTTCCTAGCCAAGTGTGGATCTGGTGCCGTGCCACTCGAGCAGCATGGCTTAGTCAGTATAGTTGACCTTCATCGCGCAATGTGCTCTCTCATGCTTGTAAAGGCAGCCATGCTGCATACCAGCCGAAAGCAGACCCAGCGACAGCACTGCCGCAGATCCACGTGCCGCGTCTTGAATATGCTGAGCCCCCCTCGATATCTCCAGGCGAGTCCAGATCTGTCCCAGGTATGCACCGCCTGGCAGGCAGGATGCATGATGCTCCAACTCTTAGTGTGCTTTTGCTGAATTGAGTAATTACGAGGCGAGTCTGAGGATGATGAGATACCAATGACCCAGCACTGGTAGCAGTTTGGATTGCTGCAGATTTTGCTCAGGCTGCCTTGGATCAATTTTGAGGATAGTTAACCTGATCAGTCCGATCTCGCCATCTTCCGTTGCATAGCTTTGATTCAAAGTGAGATTGCCAAAGTTATTCCCATCCAACCTGTCCATGGCTGTTAAGCTTTTTCCCTGAACCGCAGGTGTTGGTGCCAAGCAGGACAAAGAAATTTGGGACACCCTGCATTCCAGTGGACTGGCAGATGCCTCACAAGTTTCTGCGGGTGTTGGATGAAAGTTGGTGCTGTCAGGCTGTGGACTTTGGTAGCCTGGTGCATTCCTCGCAGCAAGCGCCTGGGCCACATTCACGAAGCTTCGAAGCTGCCTTGCTGACTGAGGCCAGAGGACTTCAACCAGGCGCTTAACATGTCCATCGCAGCGACACAGGCGAGGGCCGTGCCAAACATTAGCGTTTGCAAAGTCTAATGCTTAGCAAAGTCAGGGCAGCTCGCATACCGCGCGCGGACCTGAAGCTGTGCCAAGGGCCAGCAGGCCACCTCCAGGGTCCATATGTCCAGCGCACACTGCGCACTCCACGCCTTTGTGAGCATTGGCTAGGCCACGCGAGCCCGCTCCCATCGCCCGAGCCCCGGAGCCTCGCACGTGCTTTGCATGTGCATTAACCAGCTCCCAATGACGTGCAGGTTGCGGAGAGCTTGGAGGCTTGCGGTGGGAGCCTGTGGCGCAGTTGGTGATGAGATGGGAAGTGATAAACATGAAATAGCAAGGTCCGGCAGTGGTGACGCCGGGAGTGACTCAGCCAGGAGCTTAACTCTTCTAATTGATTCTGCCTTTTTAAGACTTTGTCGGCTGAGGCAGCTATCTGCTAGGCGGGCCGAGGCGGAGAACACAGGGCAAAGCTGGCAGAGCACCAAACAAATTGAAACGTTGCAGGTGCTTCGCAGTGGCCCAATGGTAGCAGCAGAGGACAGCACACAAATGCCGCAATCCATTGCGTGAAATGAACACTGGTATCGCAGGAATTTTTGCGCAGCTACCGACCTCAGACACACATGCAAAGTTGGGAGCCCACAGACCTGCTTGCAGATTCCGAAGTACTAACGTACCGCAGGGCTTGACCAAGCCTTACCCAAGGTCTTGTGTATCCCAGCCGCAGCCACAGTGAACTTTTGGCAGCCTTGGCAACTCAGAAAGAGATACAACTTTTTGTTGCAGCAGCCCCAATTGAAGGATTGATGCTAGCAAATGAAGGCAGAAACCCAGAGAGGATGCTCAAAAGTCAGCAACCTTCCACAGTTTCAAAGCACCGATTTCACTGGATCCCATGTGTTGCTATGTTGTCATGTCATCTAGCACAAAGAAGCGTTTCTGGTCAGAAGAGAGAAAGTTGCATGGCAAAGTATCACATCGCCGCCGAGGCGGTGCCAAAGTTGATTTCATGGAGCTGGCTCCAGCTTGGGACTTGAAGTGGGCATTAGCCAAGACATTCAAGCGCCCTAGCCAGCCCAGGTGCTGAGAGCAGTGGCTGTGGCAAATTCCCAGCCACTTTGCCTGGAATGGAAGGGGTGTCAAACGGAAGTGAGTGACAAGGGTGTTTGCTCAAGGTCGAGACCAAGGATGTTGCAGGCGATTGAGTCGGGCTCTCATGTCGCTTGGCTGCAAAAAAGGATGCTCATGTCTGACGGCAAACCAGAAGCTGACAAGGTGAGAACTGCGCTTCAAGTTTTCCGAGAGCGCCCTAGATGCAACAAGCTTATTGAATCAAACCCATGCCATCACCTTATTGGGTCTTTCGTGATCGAGCAACTCTAAGTGTGCTGAAGTGCGTGTTGTGCAGAAGTAGGGCATTTGCCAGATTGCAAATTCCAAATATCGCAAGGTGTGACGCCGATGGCTGTTCTCAGCTTAACTCAAGTCAGCTCGCGTGCTTGCCGCCTCCGATCTTGGCTGATGCACGTTGCCTAAGGCGGCTTTCTCACATGGAGCAATGGAGGCATCAGAGATTTTGCTTGGCTCCCAGTCTGCGGTTTGCCACATCTCCTTGTTGACGTTTTTTGAGCGAAAGGTGATGGCTGTCTTCATTCAGCTTGGCCTCGTGCCGCCAGCAGAGCGACTTGGCCAAGCCTCACAGTCCTTTCTCGCAAAGATGGAGAATCAGCATTTTTCGCCTCTGAAACCAGCTCAATGGCGAATTACCGCTTGCTTCGAGTTGCCTGGTACAGTCCCAAGGCTCAGGCACAGAGCTGGTTCCCTGCTAAAGTCTGAAATTCTGCTTCAAGGGCCGAGAGCAATGTTTTTTCCTGGTTTTTCTGGTCTCGGGGAGTGCGACCTTCGTGAAGATGCCAAAGCCATGGACTCCATGTACTGCCATAGCGGTTAGACCGCTAGTGACCTTGACCGAAATTTTCTGGATCTCTGTTGTTTCTGTGCAGTGACCATCCACCCGAGGATGCAGACATACGCCGCGCACACCCTTTTCGATGTCAACAGGACATCCAGCAGTGTGCAGCTGCTCATGTGATTCCACTTCTCGCAGCGCAGGACCATGTGCTTATCAGTCTGTCAGGACCTCAGTTTAGGCTGCCATCAGTTTAGTCTGCAGCCAACCACATGCCTTGATGTGTTGCCATCAAGCATGAATTGTGCAGTGTATGCTTCTGGGCTTCTTTTCCCGTGAGAGGATCCTTCTTTGCCGTTTTTTCTTGAAAGACAGCAGCTTTTGAATTCGTTAAATTTCGGTAATGGGTGCAGTATTCCGGTTTGCCTGACTGAGAGTTCATTAGGTGACTGCCTCTGTCTTCTGGACACACTGCTGCGCGCACAGCGCTCAGCAGCCCTCTGTTCTGTGATGCCGAGGGTCCAAGAAATTTCTGAGGCCATCTTCCTTTTCAACTCGGAGGATGCTCAGGAGCCTGTTCAGGCCCACGGGTCTAAAACCCAACAGACCGCGACATGAAGCACATGCAGCCTGATGCAGAAGCAACGGATGCACGAGGCTGAGCCGATTGCGAGGACGACCGGTCGTACAACTTCGCAGCGCAGGCTGCCTCGACCGATAGTGCCTGTGGCAGAGGCCTGCATCGGGACAGGAAAATCACCACTGCAGCACCCAAAGCCAGTGAAAGCCAGGAGTTGGCAGAGGCGCAGGCCGAGACAGAAAGGCTGAGGCTGGGCAAGCCTGAGCACCACACAAGCAGGGCTAGGAGAGACAAGATAGACAAGGAAAAGTACTTAACCCAATTGGCGTCCGATTTTTCAAGTTTCTGTTTTGTCAGTGTTTTTTTTTTAATCCCGCAGTCGTTTTATTTTCGGTTTGCTCCTTTGTTTGCTGCCTTCTCTTGCAACTTTCTGACTTCTCAGCTTGTCGCATTTTTCCTGCCTGCTTTCCCTTTTTCTGCTTCCTGCTGCTTTCTTTTTGTTTTGCTCTTTGCTTGTTGCTCTCTGCTTCTACTAAGTGTTGTCGCTGAAACCTGCAGTTGTCGTATTGAATCATTAGCGTCATGGCAGCTGATACTAATACCAATGAGAAATATTTTGACGTTGTTATGACGTTTGGTATTACAATTACTACGACTATTGCTGTTTTTAAGACTTCTAATACATGGATTATCACTATCATCCTTTCTTATTTGGATCATCAGGCGTATCCTTATTACCAGCATGGCTGTTGTTACTGTTACTTTTATGGCTATCATCACTACGATGCGCTATTGCTGGTTGATCATTATCACTACTGCTATTGCTTTTGTCATTGCGTTCACAGTTAGGCTTGTTGCATGGACGCATACGGAAGCATTCAACATGGATTTATGACGATTGTTAATACAGCTGGCATCACGTTATTGCTGTTACTGTTGTTATTGTTCGCCACTGCCATTGCACGAGTCACAAGTGCTAATGCTTTTCACCCCGCCTGTATTTTCACTACTACTAGTACTGCCCTGTTTGCCATGGCCACCGCTACTGCCTATGTGATTGGTTTTTTTTTGTGTGTTTTGTGTGTGTGTGGGGGTGGGGTGACTTTTTTTGGGGAGGGTGGCTCTGGCGTGGAGCATCTTCACATTTTGGCCTCAAAATGGAGCTCTCGCATGGAGGATCTTCACATTTTTTCTGCAAATCGAGCTCTCGCACGGAACGTTCTCTTTTTTTGTCTCGACAGCAGCTCTCGCGGCTTTTTCCTGCTTAGCTTTCGGGTTTCTTGGCTTCCTGTTGTTGTCTTTTGTTTGTCTTTTGTTGGCTATGTTAGCTTGTTGGCTTTTTGGCTTCTCTGGTACTTGGCTGCTTGGCTTTCTGGCTTTTCGGCTTCTTGGCTTCTTTGCTTACTTGAATTTACGGCTTCTTGTTTTTGGCTGCTCGGCTTTGTGGCTTCTTGGTTGTTTGGTTTTTTGGCTTCTTGTTTTTTCGGCTCTTTAGTTTCTTGGCCCTTTCACTTACTTGGCTTTCTGCCTGCTTTCTGTTGGCTGCTCGGCTTCTTGGCTGTCTGGCTTGATGGCTTCTTGGCTTTCGGCCGTAGTAGTAGTAGTAGTAGTAGTAGTAGTAGGCATCGTCGTAGTAGTAGTAGTAGTAGTAGTAGGCGTCCCCCCCCCCTAGGGCCTACACCTTATTTAAAACGGACTATAATGGGAAAGGGGTGGGGTGGGGGGGGGTAGTTCCGTGCTGAGAAAGTTGATTCGG